CTTCCTATCAGTTATCTGCTACGAATTGAGTTCCATCGCCCTTTTGTAACCGCGGAGGCCAACTATTCGTTTTAGATTCAAGGCATCCTCTCCCGCTTTTTCGTTTTCGAAATTTTCTAAAGTCTATTAAATTGCAGCCGAAGGAATGCGATGTGTAATTGTACCGGTTGGAGGCGCAGGATCTGGTAAATCTACTCTGGTGCGGCACATTATTAATACTAATCTCCAACGGTTTGTGAATATTAACTACTTTACTTGTTGTTAGTGTATGCCTTTGAATTGTTTCAGTGAAGGACCACCGATATACTTACTTGATACCGATGTTGGTCAGAGTGAATTCACTCCCGCTGGTTGCTTGTCTCTCTGGAAAATATCCGATGCTATACTCGGTAGGAATGATTCCGTTTCTCCTTCTTCCTGAGTTTTTATTAGCGGTGTTCCTTTGATTTATATTTCTTCTTTAACCACATGAATATTATCACTTTGTTGTAATACATTGCTCTTGAGATGTTCCATGCACGCATCAAGCTCGAATCTACCCATGTTGCTACTTCTTTGGTAATATAACTCCGGCTGACGATGATGAAAGATATAAGGTAGTCTCCAGTTATTGCTGTTTATCACTCAAAAATTCGTACATAAATTTCAGCACAAAAAAAATCAACAAGTAACACATTTAAAAGTGAACGATGGAGTTTAGAAAGGTCTAATGAAATGTTATGTAAGTATTCCACATAAGGCCTAGAGGTCTGTTTTATTGGCGGATTGAATTCAGCATTACTTCACCTCAGGGAAGGGGTCGCCAAGTTCAGCCACATCTCCCGTGACACTGACGACATTGTGCTAGCAGTAAGCAATCTTTCCCACGACCTAGACGAAATTTGCACGCTGTTCAAATCACGAAGGATCAGGCAGCATTTAAAAATGAGGTCTGGCTGTTGCGGTGGCCAATAGTCGGAGCCGTGGCTCCGAATATGGCACTTAGCGGTTGCCGCTTGACGCTGAACATTACCTTTGGGATGCTTCGTGCTTTATCCCAGAAGCGTTTGAGTCCAAGCTTCAGTTGCAAAAAAAACCCTTTGAGTTGCCAACCACTTTCGTCATTAGACTTCGGACTTTGATAGAGGTAAGATTGGTTGATTTGGATGAAGCGCAATTCTCCAATCGTCGCATTATGCCAGTGCTACGGCTGTGCTGATTGCACTCAGCCAATGGGGGTGCATCTCGGATGGTGTAGCTGGTATTGGTACTAGGGCGCAATGACCGTAATTGACACCTCCTGCGTGTCTCTGCATTTCACCTTCTGCTTCGGACAGCCCGTTTGCAGCACGCAAATATTTTGTCATTGGTTTGAGGGATCACTCTGTTATAAACCATTAGCTTGGTGTGTAGTCTTGCAAATCGGTCGGTCTGTTTAGTGTAGTTCGCTGCGGACGGTTGGGCGTGTCAGTGCGGCTGCGTTTGGCGCGGTGCCAAACTCGTTCTCCACCAGTTGTTGAAGCGGGCAAGTGACAATACTGTATCATATCCTTCGTATTACTCGTTTTCTACCACTTTTTGTCGCATGCGCGTTTCAACAAGAAGGCAGAGAACGGCCTTGACGCTGTGCACACTCATACTGGCTGACACGCCCAACCGTCCGCAGCGAACTAGAGTGTACAGGGGGGGGGGCAAAAAAAGTCACTTTTCTTCATTGACTTTCGTGGCGCTAAGTTACACTTTATAAATTCTAATCGGACATTTCTACCACCATATTAAAGAGCATATTAAATACTATTATAAAACTCCGCCACAGCCTTCTGGAGGAGCGCCATCGAGAGATTCTGGCACGCGACCGCGATGTGGTGCCTGAGATCAGCGAGATAGTCGATTTCTCCGCCACCGTAGACCACCCTATTGAACTCCGCCCGAACCGGGTAATTGAGGGGATTCAGGTCAGGTGACCTACTTGGATATTCCATCTTCTTTAGGTACTCAGCCCCCTTCCATTCCAAGTAGGCGAGAGTTTCTCCAACGCCCTTCGATTCCACGTGGTACACCCAATGGTTGCTAGGCAGTACAAAGTTATCCAAGGAAGTAGGGGCGGCGACATGGCATGAGGATATTCTTCTCGAGTTGCTCGATGTAACCACGCACCCCCCCCTGTATATCTGCCCGTGTTGACGAAAGGCACTATTTGTAACAAATGCGGAGTTTCTGGACCTTTTGCATGCCGACGAAAGAATATTGAAGGCATACTAAGTGATTAGAAGGTCAGACTAGTGATTTGCTTTAGTGGTAAATTGGTCCCCTGTCGCTGTTGTTCTTTTTTCTACATGCAGGCTGACGGCTTACAAGACGTCTCGCCATATTAGTGATTTATATCGTAGAGTACTCCGCAAATCAGTATATGAGAATTCGAGTAGGGTGGACGAGTTGCATCGAGCAAAAGATGGATTTGACAGTAATGGCCAATGCACCATGGTACTAAAGCTAGCCGCAGCATCCAACCGCCTCCCAATCAGTGGCTTTACACAGCCTAGAAATTGAAATGTATTAAGAACACACTTCGCTGAGTTGTTTTGGTTGTTTCCTGGTATTAAAACCTTACGGTAAACTAATCAACAAAAGGCCTAGTATGGTGTCATGAACAGTTCGATTCGTTTCTGATCTTTGTCACCTTTCTAGCTCATCGTGGACTAACTAATTTGAGGGGAGTAGTTTCAAAGAAAGTGTTCAGTTTCCAGTTTTGCACGTGCCCGGGTTCCCATTTGCCCAGATGTATATCATTCCACTTTAATGCCCCCAGAGGGTAGAAGGATTGGCGGGAACTGTAGCGGATTACTCAAAACCGTGCGAGTGGTAAGCGTGCCATTTGCCACTGCACCACCTCCGCCACATCGTTGGACATGAGCTTACAAATCCTCCCTCCTCCACCTTCTGAGGGAAGTAGCGCCTGAGTTGAATGGCGTTGCGAAGACCCCAAGCCCCAGTTTTCACTCACTCACCCTTGTTTTAAAACACACCACGTTCTGAACTTGGTAAAGTCACGAAAGGATTACATGCTATAGCGCCAGATAGCTAAGTTGGTGTGAGGCGAAGATGTAGCAAAGGTATCTTATCAGTTCTCAATTACGAAACGCCTGATCTACTGTTACCAGAGAAATTAGTAACGTTTTATTGCCAGTGACATCCTGAGGCACGTCGTTGACGTGTTGTGTGCTTTGAGAGCTCGTTACCGGGACACGGGCAAGAGAATCGTAATTTGCCGCTCCGCCGCGCGCGGCGATGGGCGCGACGTTTGCTTAATTCGTGTTCCTGTCGACTGGAACACCGGATTTCACGTGAGCTGTGAAACTGTAGCCATTTATGACTACTTTCGGCTCTAAATTGCCTGTTATCCCCATTTTCTACCCGGAACCATCGTCATTTGTGGGCGCGACCCGATCGAAGCCCATCAGCGCGGCGAACTACGATTCTCACGTCCCCATCGTTACCTACATCTTAGCAGGTAATTCGCTGCACCACGTACCTGTGCTACACCAGCGCCGTGATATGACTCCATACAATACAAAAGAATGCTGTTGACTTGTTTAAGGAGATCTTCGATCGCTTACTGAATGAATTTCAAACCAGCAGTGAACCCGGTTCATTATTAATAATCAACACTCTGGGCTGGATAGATGGTAATTGATTTAGATGTTAGGTATGTCATAAAAATGCTGCAGCGTCTTATTCACTGTAATACAGGACTGGGTTGCCAACTTCTAAGTCATATTTTCGATGTTTCTCGACCAGTTCTTGCACTCTGTCTTTCCCATGAGCGTGGATCATTCACTGTGAGTTTTGTCTTGACTTTTTTATTGAAAAGTTGACTATTCAATGCGTGTGCTCGCGATCCATTATTAGGTGGATCCTGAATGCTATTCCCACGCTGTCAAAAACTTAGGGCAATACCTCAATGAACTTCTTAATACTAAGTTTTCCGGTCTTTGCTCCGTTAAAATTCATGGAATGTTTGCTACGTTAAACGCAAGTAGCACGATAAATCCACAAGGCGCGAGGATAAGATGCCTAGCAGGGCAGAATATTGTGCCTCGAGCAGACGCCCTACCAAGCTACAAAGTGCCGACCCAAGCGCCCACCGTACCCGCCCACAATTTCCGTACCCTTCCACCAAGATTCTCGGATTCCAGTCCAGGTCAGCATGTTGCATCTGAAAGGAATATGGCAAGATAACTCGGGAACGCGGTTTAAAACGCTAGAGCTAGCGCTTTAGACCGAGTCCCAAATCCCAATGTCTAAATGCTATACAGTGGGAGAATGGCCAAAAAAAAACGGTCAAAAACCTGGGAAGAAAAGTCCTCGTTCTTGCTTACTGAAACAGCGGTTTCGGACGACTCTCCCGTAGAGGCATCTGCCAGTAATCGCTACGGTAGATACGGCTGCACGTATGTACTCATATATCCATGCAGCACCGCGGCCGCTTCATATCAATCCCTTCGCTTCATATTTTACTTCGCAAATGAAGCAATACGAGCATCAGGTACGGTCGTCCATTTGTGGACGGGCAGAAGCGGTTCCTACTCTACTTAGGGACTTTTCGTGCCAACCCTTCGCTGAGAAGAGTCTTGCAGCCCTTACTCAGAGGCACCAAATTCCGCCCTGCTAGGCGTTATCGCTTCATTTACGAAGTACAGTTTACCACATGAATGGATGTATGAAATACATACTGCAGCCGTAACTATGATAGCGGTTGTTTTCATGATGCCCACGGGAAAAACTTTCAAAAATGCTTGTCAACTGCTGTGCAAAACAAATGTTTTTTCGCAGCTTTTGGCCCTTTGACTTAGTTTTTTTCGACATTTTCCCGCTATATAGATATCCCGCGTTGCTATTTCGGTTCATGCCTTTAACCTTTCTGACGTGCGATAAAGGTGAAATTCCGTTTGCAGATTTGTTATCGAATTGGGCGACTGAATACTTTTACTCCCTATTCCAGGTTCCGGAGTGGGTCCCAACTGTGATACATATTTTGACTAAGTACTCACCAAATCATAACCACCTTAAAGTTCCTGAGAAGTACGTTTTCTGTAAATTTTGATAAGATCTCCTTGAATGTTAATAATTCCTTCTACTGTTGCAGCAATATCAGACCTGCACGTCTTCTATCGTATCAGCTGCGGGAACTCGCGTTCGTGTCATATTTTTCAACTATTTTTTCTCGACCAGCGCTTTCAGCTGTTTGCGACGTAACACCTTACTGTGTGAAGTTCGAGTAGGTTACTTACATTATCAGAGGTTGCTAGTTACGTGAACATGAAGCAGTCGTTTCTGTCCATGTGTAACGGTGTGCCCTTTTGAGTGATCGGACCTGAAAGATTTCGAAAGCTGAAAGTGTCATCGAATGCTAGTTCCATTTTCTCCACTCCTTTAGTCGAGCTTCTCAACTACTCG